GTGGGCAGTGCCTGCTGTTCTCCAGAGGCCTGCCACCCCCAAGGACCAACTCGCCCCCCAACCCTTTCAGAGCGAGGGGGTAGGAACCAAACTCCAATGCCAGAGAGGCCTTGAGTGAACAGGGGTGCATGATGTGGCTGCCCCCCAGCCCCCTCGAGCTGCAAGCCTGGCCTTACCCACCTCCCAACTCCCAGTAAGGCCAGCCCTTCCATCTCCAAATACTCCCACTGCTGAGCCAGGCACCCCTAGTAGGGGCTGGCATGTGGGACCCCAGCCCCTGGAGGGAGAGGAGGGAGCAGAGCAGACCCTCACCTCGTAGGTATAGTTGGGGCAGGACACCAGCAGGAAGAGCCAGGTGAAGGGGTTCTTGGTGGGGTATGGGATCTTCCTGGTCTTGGACCCTGGCAGGCAGGCCAGGAGGGACAAGTGAGACCCCCTCGCCCAGTCTGCCCAGCCTGCCCACCACCACTCCTTGCCTGGGGCAGGCCACTCACCAGCTGGCCGCAGGTCCCGCAGGGCCATGTGGATGGAGAAGTTGCCAAGCTGGCAGATCTGTCAGAGCAGCAGGGTCAGCCCAGAGTCCCCGCCCCCCCCCCCCAGCTCCCCGCCCTATTCCCCTCCTCCCAGCCTGTTTACCACGAAGATGGCGAGCGCCAGTTTAACCTGCTGAGCTCCGTAGGCTGAAGAGGAAGCAGAGAGGGGAGGCCTATGAGGGGAGAGCCTGGTGGGGTGGGAGGCTCACAGGGTGGGGCGGGGCAGGTCCAAGGCCACTTACTGGGGGGCGTATACAGAGGGTGGTTGATGTAATAGGCCATCCACGCGGCAAAGCCCCAGTAGTAGGTGCAGTTCTGAAAGCAAGCAGGGCTCGGATGAGGCCTGGCCCCGCAGAGGGTGGGACTGGGGATGCACAGGGAACTGGACGATCCCGGTGGGTGGGGCTGGGAGAACCCAGGCGCTCACCTTGAAGATGTTGCGCAAGGGCATGGTGCCGTGGGAGAAGCGGTGCACGAAGAGCGTCTCCAGCAGACGCTTGACGTAGTGGAATGAGTGGCAGATGCAGGCGAGGCTGGGAGGGGGAGCCAGCTCAGCTGGGGCGGGCCCAGCAGGCCTTCCCCCCTCCCCGCACCGCCCCCTTCCACCTGGCCCCACTCACTGCACCACCGTGTGCCGGCTGGACGTGAAGTCGTATTTGTGGCCATAAATGAAGGGCACCCGGAAGTAGAAGAGCAGGTAGATGAAGAGGGGCCCTGCGTACTCAGTCAGGAAGACCTAGGGGTACAGGGAGCAGGTGAGTCACCCCAATGTGGCTGATGGGAAAGGAGGCCATGGATAGGGCTGGGACTCACCGTCACCCAGCTGATCTGGGCCCCCAGGTCCCGGAAGTAGAATGTGGCCGTGGTGCCCACGGGCAGCTTCTGCAGAACATCCTCATCCTTCAGGGACTTGCCCTCTGCAGAGACAGGCCGGGGCTCAGGGCTGCCCAGACCTTTGCCCACCGCCACCCAGGAGCCTAAGGGTGGCCAAGCAGACAGCTGTACTCACTGGGGTCCAGGCGAAGGGACTGGCGGGCAGGGTACCACTGTGGATCTGTGGGGAGAACAGGGTGTCACAGCACACAGCACAACAGAGCCCCCCGGGATGAGGCGAGGCCTCTGAGGCCCGTGCCTCCAGGACAGAGCCAGGAACAGCCCAGGCAGAGGCAGGATGTTGTCCTTCCGAAAGCCCAGCAAGGGCGTTCCTACCAATGGCCACGCAGGGACACCTGCCCCAGGCAAGCCAAGAGAAGCCTGGGCCACACTGGGGGCACCTCTGCAGGACCTGGGGAGAGAGAAGTGCAGGACCAGGTCCCACCCAGAGGCCCCTGCCCAGAGGGGTCACGGACAGCAGCGCAAATGGGCCCTGGACTTACGGGTCTTGGTGAAGAGGTTCTTGATCTCGGCAATGGTGGCATGGGGCTCCACCTGGGGGAAGCACAAGCCGCAAAGAAGTCAGGGCAGGGTGGGGCATGATTAGGACCCCTCCTGGTAAGGGGGGATGGACTGGGGGACTGGGCAGCTGCTACGGGAGGGGGAAGGCTGGAGTTCAGGCTCCCCGCGTACATGGCCGAAAGGAGCAGCAAGGGCCCTGCCAGAGTGGGGAGCGCCATAGGCCTGAGGGCCCGGTTTTACCAAAGGCAGCCAGGACACCCCTGGCCTGCTGGGAGACGGTTTGAGCACAGGAAGCTGGGCCTGCTTCTCTGCCTCTCCTCCTCACCCCACCCGCAGCTCCCCTCACAGTGACGGCCCTCTTGGGGCCAGAACTCCCTGGGACAGGAGCCCCTTCCCCCATGCCGGGCCTTGGCAGGGGGCAGGTCTCAGACTCCCACCTTCTTCCCAGGCCCCAAAGCCCTGCAGGGTCCACGGAGGCTGCTTCGCCTCCTCCCACCAGGGGGCCAGCTCCTGGCCACACCCAAGGGCCATCGGTGCCCACTCCACCCCAAGCTGGCAGCGACAGGCCTGGGGAAAGTATCCCTCGTACGCTGAGGGGTAGGTGGGGAGTCAGGACACAGGATGGAGGGACACAAAGGGTCCAGCTGGACAGCTCCCATCTCCTCTGAACCAGAAGCCCCAGGAAGGAACAGGGACCCGGGCCCCATGCCCTTGGCCCAGTACAGCTGGCGCCAGGGTCCTACCTTGTCCAGGAAGCAGAGCTTCTCCCGCGTCTTCGCATCCAGAATCTCCACCTCGAAGAAGAGAACAGCCTTTTTAGGTTTTTTGGTCGCTTTGGCGGGTGCGATCCCGGGAAGGCCATTGAGGCCGAGGCTGGGGCCGGGGCCGAGGCCCTGGCTGGCCTCTCGGGCCACCATGCTCATGTTCAGGTCCATGCTGCCCTGTTCTGCCCGCTGCAGCCAGCGGCCCCAGCTGCCGGCCGTCAGCCCCCGCCGCGGACCTCCCCACGCGAAGCAGCTCTGGGCCGGGCCGGCGTGATCAAATTCTGCCGCGGTGCTGGAAAGGAGCCCGCGCCTGCCCTGGCACGGCTGCCTTCTGTGCAGATGTAACCCGAGTGCCCCGCAGCCATGGCCCAGCTAAATATAAAACTGCCCCAGACTGAGCCCCCCAGGAGCCGTGCCACACACCTCCTGGGGGCAACCCCCGGGGGCTGGGTCCTCCTGAAAGGGAGACTTTCGAGTGGACACAGCCCCCAAACAGCCCAGGGGGCAAGAAGATCCCCTGAGGCAGGCATGGAGGCACCCCGGCCCAGTGTAGGGTGGGGTCAGCCACAGGTGGAGGGTGAGCGGCCCGCGGGCAGCCCAAGCCCCGGCGCCCAGCTCTGGCCCGCAGAGTTCACTGGGCTTGGGAGAAATCCCAGCTATTTTGAGAATCCGAGAGATAGATCATCCATTTCCCCTTCTGAGCTATAAGAGACGCTGCGGATTATTTTCCTTGTGCATTTATGTTCCCAGGGAGGTGACAGATTCCGGAGTTATTGGTGCAGAGAGCCTCTCTCTAAGTGTGGAAAGGGTCAGGAAACCAAGAAGTTTCCAGCTAGCATCCCCAGCCTGGACTGATGAGCCCTCAGCCCCTGCCTCCCTGACCTCCCTCTCCACTCATTTCTCACTAGGTCCACCCAGGCCTTGTTCAAGGCCACCTTTGGGGCAGTCTTCCCACGGCATCAGCCCAACATAGCACCCTTGCCTAGGCCCTGACCCCCGCAAAGCCCAGAGCACACAGCCTGGCCACCCCCACCCCACTGCTCTGCTTGAGCCCCCGGACAGTGGCCAGACAGTAGCAGAGCAGTGGGGCAGATGGGGGAGAGAGCCCTCAGGGGGATCTGGCCCACCCATCCCAAGCAGGTCTGAGAAGGCACCAGGAGGAGCAGGGACACAGGAACTGCTGGAGCTGGAGGGAGGCCCAGCAGTGGCCAGCTGATCCCAAAAGGCCCAAGTGCTCCCCTGGGGCGCTTGGCACAGATGCTCTTAGACATGGGGCCATGGCAGGCAGGGCTTGGTCTGACCTCAAGTCAGCCACTGCCAGCAGGTGCTGAGAATCCTTCCCACCCCTGGTAGAGCCTCGGTCAGAGGCAGCATGGGGAAAGGAGAAGGACCAGAAACCCAGGGCAGGGCCCCAGCCAGGGCTCTCTGAGGGTACAGCCACCTACCCACAGCCCAGGCGGAGGGGCCCACCGCAGCCAGCACCCCCAGAAGGAAAGGGCTCCCCTCACACATCCCCCAGTGACAGGAGCGCAGTGGGCAGCAGACGGGACTGAGTCTGGCCCTGCCATTCAGTCCCTGGGTGACCAGCCCCTCACTTCTCTCTGAGCCTCAGCTGGGGGGCAGGTAGGTAGGCGTGTAGCTCCAGGGGCTATAAGGGTCATGAGACAATGCGAGTGAAGCATCAGCACGGTGCCTGACACTGCCCCAAAACCTGGAGCCATGAGGCTGGGCATGAGGAGACCCGGCGGGAAGGGCACCGGCCTGGGTGCAGACCCCGGCCCCCCTGGTGGCAGGCAGCATGTGAGCCTGTTGGCCCATGTACGCTATGCCCGCCCCACACCATGGACAGGAGAGGGCCCAACACCCAGCCCTGGCCTGTGCCACCTACTGATGCTGCACCGGGCGGAGTGTGTGCACTGCCGACTGCAGGCTCTGCCCAGCTGTGTGGCCTTGGGGGACACATTACGAAGCCCCTCTGAGCCACACAGATGACAAAGCCAAACAGAAGGGCCAGGAAAAGGAAACCAGTCCTACTGCCCCGAGTGCCAGGCCCCACCGAGGGGACCTGTGGGAGAGGGAAGGGGCACATGCAGAAGGTGCCAGAAAGGGCTAGAATAGCAGAGCCGTGGGCAGGCACAGGGCCTGCCCCATGGCTACAGTATATTAATAGTTCCTGGGTCCCGGGGGGGGCAGTGCCCACATGCCTTTGGAGCCCGTGTGGGGCAGGAAGACAGCACCGAGCCTCCTGGGAGAGGAGGCCTCCGAGTTCCTGCTGAACCACTCAATAGCTTAAAATACAACCAGCCCCTCTCCCTCCTGGCCAGCTGCTGGGGGAGGGCTGAAATCCTACCCCTCTCCCCCAACCTGGGCACCAGACCAGGGTCCCGGGGAGAGTCGGGGGCCCCGACTGGCTGCCGGGAGAGGAAGCTGGGTGGCAGGAGGGGTGGCCGGGAGAGGGGGGCACACTCCCAGCAGCCGCAGCCACAGACGCGCCTGAGCCGGTCCCAGGCCGGAGGACAAGAGCCTGCGCCCTCCCAGAGGTAAGCCTGGCCCTTGCGGCGGCACCCAGGGGCCCAACCCACTGGGGTGGGGGTTGCCTCAGCTCAGGGCCACTTTCCTGCCCCCAAATCCCAGGACCCAGCAGCCTTCACCCGGAAAGAGGTCTGAAAGGCCCTGAGGTGTGAGGGGGATGTGGGACCCAGGACCTCTCTGTACTATTTCTGCAATTCCCCGTACGTCTATAATTATTTCAAAATAAAAAGTGAAATAAAAGTTATGCTAAGTGGCAAGAAGAAGAAAAAAAAGTTATGCTAAGGAAAAGAAGGCAGACACAGAGTCATATATTTATGTAAAACGTCCAGAATTGGCAGATGCAAGGAGACAGATAACTGTGTTGCCACGGGCTGGGAAGGGGGGGAGTGAGGAACACTGCCTAACGGGAACCTGGTATCTTCTAGGGATGATGGAAATATTCTGGAACTAAATCGAGGTGGTGGCTGCAGGGGGACAGACGACAGTATGAATGTATTTGATGCTGCTAAACTATTCATTTTTAAATGGTTAATTTTATGTGAATGTCACCTCAATCAATTATTTTTAGGGGGGGCTAACATGCAGGCCCCAATTACCCACCAAAAAACAGGTCCCAGGGCAGGGAGCAGCAAGAGTTCCTCACACCCATCCACCCCTTTACACGGAGGGCCTAAACATAGGGGACCTGGTCCTGTGCTTCCCAGGCTCCAGTCCCAGAGCTTACCCATGCACCGCACCCCTCCCCACAGCACTGCCACCCCACCCCCTGCTCTGTGCTGAGCATGCCTCCCGCACCCCTGTGCTTCTCCCTCCCTCTCTCTCTCTTTCTCTTTCTCTCTCTCTCTCTCTCTCTCTCTCTCACACACACACGCGCGCGCACACACACACACACACACACAGGCCTGCTAAGCCTGCCTGATGCCAGCCTGGGATGGGGACCCACGGCAGGCCTAGACCAGGTCAGGGGGTGCAGGCAGCTGCCGAGTACAGCCCTCAGGCAGGGTTCCTAGGCACACAAGGGTAGGCAGCAGGCCCAGACCTCATCCCTGGGAGAAGACAGGCAGGGGAAAGGAGGAGAGGTCAGCCCTCCTAAGGGAGCTGGAGGCAGGGGAAGGGCTGGGAGGAGTGTTCTATTCGATGGATGGGTGAGGAGGGTCACCTGAGCCTGAGCCTGAGGTCCCAGCACTGACCACAAGCAGGGGGTGTGGCACCGCAGCCTCGGGCACAATGGACACAGAGGACAAGGACAGGGCAGACGCGCTGGCCTGGGACCCGAGAGTGGCTCTGCGATGACAGCTCCACTAGCCTGGGACAAATTCTCACCCGGGCGCCTGAGATTCCAGGGTCCAGCCAACAGCAACTCGTGGCATGCCACGAGGTCAGGGCATGGGGGGTGGGGGGAGGGGGCAGGACAAAGGGTGGGGCCGCAGCCCACGCTGAAGAGGGGTGGGGACCAGGCTGCAACCTTCCCCAGCCTGGAGGGGAGCACCCAGAGCCACTGCTGAGCAGCAGCGCCCATGGCCTTCCCTGTATTCATGGAAATAAAAGATGTTGCAGATCAACATAGCACTGGTAGAAACGAGGGTGACGTTTTCTGAGCACCGTTCTGAGCCAGTGCGGGTGCCCAGAGCAAGGCTCCGGGGATGAACCCCATCTAGCAGATGAGAAACACAGAGCAGTGGGAAAGCAGAGCAGTTATGCAACTACAGGAGAGGCTCAGGGCCTTTGCACATGCTGTTCCCACTGCCTGTACCGCTCACCCCAGACCCTGCAGGGCTCCTTCCCCCACGTCCTTAGGCCTTCAGACAAATTCTCAAGTGAGGCCCTTCCTGACTCAAAATAGCAACTCCCACATACCAGCTCCTGAGGGCAAGGACTGTTCTGTTCTCAATCATTTCCCAGCACCCAGAACAGCCCAGCAAGGAGCTGGACTCAGTAAACACCTACATGAGGCAACTGGGCTTGCCCAAGGTCACACACACCAGGACCTAGGTTACGAGCTCGTGTACCCGTCCGAGGCCGGGTCTAGCGCCAGGACCTAAAACTCCCTCCCCACAACCCTCTGAGCCAAGGCCCTTCCCTGCTCCTCCTTCACCACAAGCCAGGGGGCCGTGCCCACCTTGCCAAACCCCAGAGCGGCAGGGTGGAAGCTGCTGCCTGGAGCTCTCCCTATCCTGAGCCGGGACCTAGCTCCAGAGAAGCCTCTGTGAGGCCCACAGACATGCCCACCTGGCTCCAGTGACCCTGGCGGACCCAGTATTCTGACAGCTGGACCCTCCTCCCAGGCTCTGGGCCACTGCTCACCAAGGGAAAGGGTCAATGACCAAGCCACCTCCAGCTCCTGGGGAAGCCTGCTGTCTTTCCTCACCCGCAATCCCAACACAGAAGGGGCTCCATGGTGACAGGCTCTACAAGGCCTGGGCCCTCAGAGGCACTACCACAGGCCCAGTGGCCTCCTCACAAGGAAAGCTCAAGGGCCTTCTTGGCCACGTGCACATTCCCCAGGCTCTGAGGTCAAAAAGACTCACCTATTTCCTGGCTGTGTGGCCTTGGACAAGTTACTCAACCTCTCTGAGCCTCCATTTTCTCATCTATAAAATGGGCTGCCCCCACCTGCCATCTCACAGGACTACTGTAAGATTTACAGAGATAATAACAACCAAAAAAAAAGTACATGAACATGCCCAACCTAAAAGTGATCCTGTAAAGAATAAATACTACTCGACCAATACCTGCAAAATAGTACGGCAGATACGCAGGGTGCCAGGCCCTTTCTCCCCAGATCCTGACCACGGCCATGAAGGGGCCCAACCAGAGGACTCCAAGGTCAGAGGGGTGGGGTGATGATGCTGCATCCAGCTGATGACAGTGCGCCCGAACCCTAACAACGGCAAGACACGTGTGGGCGAGAGGGGCAGGGCTGCAGCGCTGTCCCCACTACAGTTCCCAGCCGGGCTGTGCCGGCGGCCCTGCTCTCCACCGCCCCCTTGTGGCCGTGTACTCCACTCCCACCTGCAGGAAGACAGCCTTGTCAACTGCCAAGCAGGCAACTCCAGGGCAGGATGGGACCAGGACGGGACCTAGAGAGTGAGCACTAATCGGGCTCTGCCACCTACCAGCCAAGAGGCCTCAGGAGCCACTGCCCCACATCCATTCATTCCTTCCTCCATCCATTCCTGCCTCCCTTCCTCCCACATCTCTGGCACTGCAGTGAACAAAACCAAGCCCCTGCCTTCACAGGATGGCACCCCAGCCTGCGTGTGCTGTGGGGGAGGGGGGACAGACAACAGCGACATGTTTTGTCACCAACGGTTGTGGAGAAAAACGGAATGGAGGCGGGAAGCCGGGGCCGGGGCGGGGGGGAGACCATTTTCCACAGAGTGGTCAGGGAAGGCTTCCCTGAAAAAAGGGAAGCTGAGCAAAGGCCAGTGCGACGTGAGGGAACAGAGCATGCACACCAGGCAGAGGGAACGCCAAGTACAAAGGCCCTGTGGCTGGACTGTGCTTAAGCACGGCTAAGAAGCAGGAAGGCCCAAGTGGCCTGAAGAGGGTGACAAGGGAGAGTAGGACACAAAGTCATGAAGACATGGGGCAGGTCATGCAGGGCCTTGTGGGCCACAGGGAGGGCTCTGGGTTTTACCCTGAGTGAGGTGGGGGCCTGGGAGGGTTTGTGAGTAGGGGAGGGAGGGGACCGGGTGCTCGCAGGCACCCCTGGGGAATTGGGAGACCAGGGCAGAGGCAATAGTGGGGACGGGAGCAGGGAGGTGTCCATGGAGGAGTGAAAAGTGGGCGGGGGGGGTCTGAAGTTTCTGACCTGAGCCCCAGAAGGGAGGGGCAGCGGGAGGACTGGCACCGCCTAAGCCCAGGTTGTAAGTGCTGCTCCTACAGGAGCACCCAGGGCCCAGGTAACAGTGCCTGCAAGGCCTCCAGGCCAGGAGCTCAAGCCCCTCTCAAGCCTCAGTGTCCCCATCTTTACCAACACAGCCAGGCCCCTCCCATCTGTGAACAAGACTCAGTGGCCTCAGGGCAGAGTGCACACCCCAGGGCCCCTTGGGACAAGGGGCAGGCACAGGCCTGAGGGTCAGCTTGGCTTCCAGATCGCCCTCATCAGCTCCCACTTACACACCTGGAACTTTTGTGCACCCTAAGATGGGCCCTGCCCAATGAGTATGCATTGAGAACAGCAGGCCTGGAGCTGCGGCAGCCTCCTAGACCCCTCTCCTCATCCTCCCCTTCCAACTGCACAGCAGCCGAGGGAGCAGGGCTGTTAGCTCCATCCTCAGATGAGGAAGCCGAGTTCCAAAGGGTGAGGGCACACCCAGGTCACGCCGCAGTAAACACCTGAGCCCAGTGCACACTCCTGTGTATTCAAGAAAGGCCAGCCCCCACCACACACAGGCCTCTGGGGCCGCGCTCCCAGCCAGCGCACCCTCTGCAGAGGCCCCTGCAGAGATGGTGCGAGGCAGCATACCACAGAGGTCTGCCTGCCAGGAAAGGGCCCTACAACTGGGTCACGTTGTGTGGGGCGGCCGGGGCTGTGAGGGAGCGTGCGCCCTGGTGGGTAACATCTTCTCCTGGGCCTGGGGCACAAGAGGCCCGCTGTGGGTGCGAGCCCTGCTCAGTGCAACCTAGAACTCTAGACAAAGACACTAAGGCCCTGACAGGTCCTTTAGCTGACTGGCCCAGGCACTCGTGGCCCCCACAGGCCCCCACTCAGGGTCCAAGGGCTGCGGCACCCAGAGGGTGGAGGCCTGGCCTTGAGCAGCAAAGCACCCAACCGGCTCATCCACTTCACAGATGCAGAGGCTTGGGCCCATTTGCCTGGACTCGGCGACTCAGCACTTGCCGCTCCTCTTCCCTGCCACTTTCCAGAAATATCAAAGTCACACTGCTCATGCCAGGGTGGCTGAGAAGACCTTGGGCTCAGCTGCCAAGAAGCCAGCACCGGCCGCACCTGCTCCGCCAGAAATACCTCCTTCCCCAGTGGCCTCGGCTCATGACCCCATTTCCTGAGATGCCCGGGGCAGTTGCCCCAGCCTCCCCGATGTGCCACAGTGGGGACAGAACATCACCAAGGCTGGGAAAGGCCGGGAGACACTGACCACCCACTCCCAGGCCCTCAACCAGCCAGGTTCCACCTCCCACCCCCACTGGCCAGACAAGAGGAGTCAGTGTGTGAATGCCAACGTCCCTAGGCTCTGGGATGGGGGCCAAGAGAACCTGGCAGAGCCCCACGCAGCCCAGCAGCATCCTGGAGAACATTCTCTGGGTGCTTGTGTGAGCCCAGGTTGGTCATTGCAAACACACAAAGGCGCACCTGAAGGGGACACTGAAAAACATGGCAGGGACTCTGGATCTCAGGACTGTTGGCCAGCTGCTCACTCGCACCCACAGCCCACGCACCTCCCTGAGCGGGCACAGGCCACATCTCCCAGCCTCGGGGAGCACTGTCCCTCTGAGAGCAGAGCTGCTGGGGTCTGTGCCATTTGCAAGTGCTTCTGCGAGTAATATCTATCAGGTGCCCACCTTGCGCCAAGGACTGTGCTAAGACCTTCACCTGCATAACCCACCTAGCCTCACCTGGGTCTGTAAGCTAAGGACTGTGACCCCAGATAGGCAGCTCAGAAACGAGGGAGCCCTCACCCAAGGCACATAGCCAGGGCCAGTGCTAACCTGCCTGCTTGGGCCCAAAGCCCCCCCACCCCCTCACCACCATGATGCAATACCACCGCCACTCGGAAGAGCAGGGTTAAATGTTAACAGGGGAAAAAGGAGGGAGGGGCCCCTGGATCTGATTATCTGGAAGGCACGCCCCTCCCTGCTGACACTCCAACTCCAGCACACTAGTCTTGGAAGGTCCAGACTCTGCAGAATACATCACCTCCACAAGGAGTGCCCTGCAGGGGAGCCCAAGGGCTGAGCCTGCTCCTCCCCAGGCCTCAGCCTCCCGTGGCCCCAGCACACTCAGGGTACCAAGGGTGAAAGGCCTGTCACCTCCTGACACCACACAGAGGGGCCCACGCAGACTCAGCAGCTATCTTAACGCTTCCTGCACGTTTTCCTGTCGTGGGCTGAGGCCACCACAGGTGGAAGAGCAGTGCCCCGGCAGGAGCAGGTCCCAACACTGAGCAAGACTAGTGCTGCTGAGGCCGGGGTCAGACCAGCCTTCCCTGCCTGAGCCTTAGCTTCTCCATCTGGTCAGTGGAACGTAAGAAAGAAGACATAACAGAGATGATTCTCGTGGCACATGTGGCAGAAGTTCTGCCCGGTGGTCCAGAACCCTGCCTGCTCACGCGACTCAGCTGAGGAGCCCTGGCCTGGGCAACCTAGGAGGGGGCCCACGGTCTCTGACGGGGGAGCCGGTGCCCACGGCTTCAAAAGCTCCCAGGTGACAGACGGGGACAGCCTCAAGCAAGGCTGCCTTCCTAAAATGGGCCCTGCCCTCTGGAAGAAGCCCAACATCATTCCCCTGAGGGACTCAGCCGGCCCAGGCCCTCCCAATGGGACCTCAGCCATTTCCTGTAGTGGCTCCCCACCCCTTCCTTGCCCTGCCCCCTGGGGGCTGTGAACACCGAGCACCCAGTCACCACCAGCTCACACTGACCCTGTTAGACTGGCACTGTTAACGCATTTCACAGACAGGGAGGATGAGGCTCAGGAGCACAAGTCGCCAGCCCAACAACACCTGGCTACAAGCTCCAGGGGCAGAACCCCATCTGTTTTTGCTCCTTAGAACTGACTGTCCCTGGCCCCAGACACTCAGGGGATGGCCCAGGTCTGCACCCCCCGCACCGCCGGGCCAGGTCGAGGTTGGTAACCATGTCTGGTCTCTGCATCTCAGGCCAAGAAGCTGGAAGAGGCAGGAAACACTGAGCAGCAGGAGGAGTTCATCCAGGCTGACCCCCCACCTGCGTCCAGCACTTCCGGCCCAGTGTGGCAGGCAGGTTAGTCCAACCCAGAAGCTCTTCCAGAATAGCCCGCTCTGGGATCCCCATGGCTAGCCTTATACACACAGCCAACAGCTAATGCCTGCCGCACGCTCACCATGTGCCAGACACATTCTCAACACAAATTATCTCTTTTACTATTAATCCCCTTTTGGGGAAACTGAGGCTCATTCATTCACTGCATAAATATTGACTGAACACCCACTACATGCCAGGCACTGTTAAAGGCTCTGGGGATTCAGTTGTGGAAAGAGACTGAAATCCTTGCCTATATGCAGGTGACATTTTAGCGGGGGGTGGGAGGACAATCAAATAAAGTTACACATAACAGAAGATGCCATGTGCCACAGGGAAAGCAGAGCGGGAAAAGGGTACAGGCAGTGGAAGGGGACGGGGGAGTGTGTGGTTTTATAGCAAGTGGTCAAGAAAGGCCTCCTGAGGAAATGTTGAGACAAGCCCTGAATGCAGTGGAGGAAAGAGCTACTGAGAAATCTGAGGAGAGCATCCAGGCAGAGAAAGGGCCTGTGCAAAGGCCCTGAGGTACGGCATTCTTGGTATGTTCAAGCAACAGTGCAGAGGCCTGTGTGGCTGGAGGGAGTGAGCAAGAAGGGCCCTGGGGGGAGGTGACAGGTTGTGCACGGTCTCAGAGGCCATGTTAAGACTTTGGCTTCTATTCCAAGTGAGGTGGGAACCCTGGAGGGCTCTGGGCAGAACAGGGATTCAACCTGACTTAAAGAATCCTTCTGGACTACAGGGGAATAGAGTAGAAGCAGGGAGCCCGATAAGAATTCTGTCAAAATAAAAGATGCCTTACACCAAGGGGTCGGCAAACTATGGCCCACAGGCCAATTCTCTGATCCACCACTGGTTTTTGTACAAGCTAAGGGGTCTTCACATTTTTAAATGGTTGGAAAAATCAGAAGAAGCCTATTTCATGACGTGGAAATTACATGAAACTCAAATTTTAATATCCACAAAGTTGTATCGAACATGGCCACACTCGTTGCTTAATGTATCGTCTACGGCTGCTTTTCTCACAATGGTTGAGTTGAGAAGATGTCACAGGGCTGTATGGCCTGCAAAGTCCAAAATATTTACCATCTGACCCTTCACAGATAAAGCTTGCCGACCCCGGGCCTGGGCCTGATGATGGCAGGGGGTGGGCTGATGAGAAGTGGCTGCATTCCAGAAGTCCTCTGATGGCTGAGCTATAGGATTTGCGGACTTTGGGATGCCAGGGATGAGAGAACAAGCAGAGTCAAACAGCCTAGGAGTGGAGTGGTCGGAAGGCTGGAAGTGCCATTAACTGGAGTGGGGAAATGCAGGTTTGAGGGGAAATCTGGGACTCAGGTTTGGATATTAAGTCGGAAATGCCCATTAACAGCCCCACAGAGCACTCCATCTCTGAGAAAGCACGTAAGGCAGAGGTTGGGGGCAGGGGCGGTGTCTCTGCAAGCTCCACAAGCCTTTTCTGCTAGCTGAGAAGTTCCCATTCGTTCTCTCCAGAAACGCTTACTGAGCCCCTCGATGTGCTGGGCCCGTGCTAGGTGCTGGGCTTGATGAATGGAAAGATCTATGTGTGACAGCAGTGTGCTGGGCAGCGTTCCAGGTGCTGGGACAGAATGGTGGGCACAGCTGAGAGGCCATGCTCCCCGACTGGACCTGCTCAGGGGAACAGGGGCAAATCATCTATCACCTAACCCGAGGTCAGGATATACCAGGTGCTGTGAAGAAAAGAAAGCAGGGCAGGGGGCCCAGAGCGCCACAGGAGGTGGTCAGGGAAAGCCTCTCCAAGGAAGTGTAATTTGAGCCACAGCCAGAATGAAGCCAAAGGGAGGACCAGCAAGAGGCTCCCTGTGGGAAGTGCAAAGGCCCTACGGCAGCACAGAGTTTGGCAGGGCTATGGAACACGCAGAGGCTGGAGCAGAATGGACTTGAGGGTGAGCAGCTGAGAAGGCTGGAGAGACAAGCACTTCAGGAAGCTGCTGGAGGGCCGCAACCTGCTCTGGTTTTGAGAAAGATCCCTCCCGCTGCCAAGGCAAGTGTGGAAGCAGACACAGCAGTGAGTCTCAGAAACAACCCAGGCCAGAGATCTCAGTGGAGCCTGGACTAGGGCACAGAGGTGCCAAGTGGGGAAAAAGACACTCTAATTCCTGGATCCTGAGACACCACTGATTTAAACCACCTCGCCAATGGTGGCGGGGGGGGGGGGGGGGGGGAGTAATGGACTACCTATGTAAATGAGATGTACATATATAAGATGCACTCCAACTTAAGGAACATGAGAACACCAAGGGGGAAAACTGTGTATCCTGGGATGGAGGGGGGAGAGCAGTAACAAGTTAAGAGGATTTCAGGAAAGAAGTGCAGGGTTTCTGGAATGTTTAACAGGCCTACCTGCGTCTTTAAAGGGAATGATGAATTAAGAGGAAAAGCTTGGCTCTCGCAGTTAAGAGAGGGGTCCAGGAAGATGCTCTTGGCTGTCTTCCCACCTGCAGCATTACCTGTGAGCAGCACCCTGAGCCCCACAGGCCTCTGTTGGCTCCACTCACCACTCTGGTGGAGAGTGAAATGAAGCAAGGGAGAATGTACCCAGGAGTTCTGTATGCACGTCCTTCCCCGTGCCTTCTCTCTCCAGGGTGCATGTTCCGGGGCCCAGCCAGGGAGACTGGCAATGACTGCACCTCCGTGCGCCATCCACTGACACCCCAGGCGAGCCAGAACGTGGCAGAGAGTGCAGCCCCTAGGCCCACTCCTCAGACTGTGCCTGGAAGGGCCTGGCAGGAAACATTCTTTGGGTCTCTTGATCCATGGCTTAGCACTACCCATAGGATCCCCACCTTATCCTTACATGAAAACTCAGAGTTCAGGTAACTCTGGGCCAAAAGTGGGGGGAAAAGGGGGCCAAACTCCAAAGTGCCAAAAGATGAGCAGTGACCAGCTTCATGACCCAAGGACAGGAGCCCACGCTGACACAGTGAAGCTAGCCGCACATGCTCAGAGCCAGATCTGCCAGTCCCGAGGAGCAGCCGTGCACCCAAGCATGCAAGGGTCCTTCCTCATCATCGGACTGCAGTGCCTGTGGGGATGGGGGTGGGGGGGGAGTGCATCAGCGATGTGGCTAACTGCCTGAGCCTGCCCTGTGCCTTGCTCTGTAGGCCAGGGGCTCTAAAAGACATGCACATCATCACTTGTTCCAAGGTATGCACTGAAGCCCCCGCCAGGGGCCCGGGCTTACAGACAGCACGGGTCTCACATACACAAACTGTCAGTAAGTGCTAAGTGCTATGTGCAGAGAACTAAAACAGGAGAGGCGCCAGGGTGGTGAGTGTGGCCTGGATGGGTCAAGGGGAACCTCTCAGAGGAGGTGACATTCAAGCTGAGCCCTGAATGACGGGATTCCCAGATGGGAAGGGCAAAGCCACCTCTCCTGAAACACTGGTATTTAGGACAGGGGTGGCGTGGCTCAATGCAGCCCTGTCCTGGAGGAGATGGTGGGTGGATCCCCACCCCCAGCCAGGAGATTTTGTTAGACTTTAGTCTCTGCAGTGAATAATATTCAACGACATACTGTCTCAGACTACACATATCTCCCCAAGAATTCTGATACCACCCTCACTCCCCACCAAGAGATATGTTCCCCCAAACCCACCCCACCCCCACCGGAGTCAGACTCCTAAGGAGTCCTGGGAAATAGCTGCTCCCCACAAGAAGAGCAGAGGCTCCAGCTCTGTGAGCCCCTCAAGCTCTGACGGGCTTCCTGACGCTCCATGACACTCCAGTGCCAGTGCTAAACCGCCCTCCCCCAAACTCAGCCTATACGCCCTCACCCCGAGGACAGGCACCGTTCCCATGGGCCCCGCCACAAAACAGGCATGGCCCCAGCCAGTGCTCCCTGGTCCCTTTAAAAAGATAAGACAGAATTCGGAAAGACCCAGACAATGACACAGGCCCTGCAGTCTACAGGACCCAATGAATGGCCTGGGGACGCTGCTTACATAAGAGCCTGGTTCGAGCAGGGACAGGACCGTGCCAGCCTGCCAGTCACCGTGACCTACTGAGAGGCCCTTTATCCCTCAGAGGGCTGGGAAAGGCTCGTGGCCCATCTCTAACCACAGGACTAGAAGGCGCAGGGGAGGGGGGAGCCCCAAACACCATCCACCACCCACTAGTCAGTAATAAGGAACAACTACTCTGTGCATTTATGTAACAAACACCTAACACAAGGGCCCCTCAAGGACTTAAAAATAAACCACCCTCTGAAAACTTTAACTCAGGCAAAATCAACAGAAAAGGGAGTTCATAAAGCCCACAGTTCTCAGGATAAAGTCCACAGGTCTCTGCCCAATTGGCCTCAGCACTCAACATGGGACACCCACAAAGTCTGGCCTCCAGGCCTCGGCACCTGCTGCCCCATATCCCTTCCCTAAAAACCTTCTCCTTCAGGCCTCAGCTTAGATGAAAACATCTTAAGGGCAGAGGCTGTGGTTAGTTCAGCCCAGTATTCCTGGTGCAGGACAGGTACAGAGAAATACATTGGAACAAATGAACTAATGAGTAAATGACAGACGGAAACAGACAAGTGGAACCCCAAACAGGAGAACGCTCGCACCAGGACAGGCTGCCAGTATCCTATGAGGCCGGGGCAGGCCACTGGCAGGTGCAGTGCTGGCAGCCTGCCGCGGGACCAAGTGTGAGGAGGAGCAGGATGATGCAGAACAGGCTGACCATGGCTGGGCTGGACCTGGGGCTCGTGGCCAGCAGGCCACCAAGAAACCAGCTTCCCTCGATCAGGATCACTAAGGACTGGCTCAGCCCAACACATGAGATGCAGTCCTCAGCCAGGTCCCAGCAGCGGCCCCACACTCACCCTTCTGCTCTCCGGGAGCCTGACCACAGGGAGAAGATGCACTCATTCATCCAATCATTCGTTCAACAAGGAGGCACTGGCCAGATGCTGGGGAAGCTGCAGGAATGAGACACAAGGAGTCCCTGCC